AGATTGTGAAAGAGGTTTTAATGGGGGCAAATTTATATTATAAATTGGATTGAATTTATTCTTCCTCATTTGTTGCCTATAATTTTTGGCCCTCTTTAGTCTTTTTTTTAGACTCTTCCAGACAGATAATTAAGTCTTCCAAGAGACATGTGGATTTAATATTTCCTATCTAGTTTCCTATATGAGTAAACAGAGGCATGGGCCATATCAAAAAGAGATAAAGAGGTGAAACCAAAGATGACAAAGTTTCTAACTTAATAGATGTTTTCTTTTCATTTAGATTTATTTTGGCATGTTCTTTTAGGATTTAACTCTGTGCTTATCTTTAAAATCTAAGCAGTGTATTTTCTATTAAATCATTTGTAAAAAGCCTCAAGCAAGGACTTCCACTTGAAAGCTAGATGAACTGAGTTTGGAGAATTTAGACTTTTTAAAGAGTATATGAAGAATTAAGAGATTTAAAAAATGGCTCTTTGAATGTCCAGAGGCAGTAGAATGGGGGCTATTGTGTATGCTTCTTTGTGAAAGCAATTACTTCCCAACACCAGCAGAATTATACAATATTATTTGTAGCATTTACAGTGCTGGGCCATGTAGTCACTTTGTGTACTTGCACACAGTTGGTGCTCAGTGAGCAGTTGTTAAATTAAATTTACTGAACAAAGTTAAGCCTTGACAAAATTCAGCTAATATTGATCCTCATAGATATCTATAAAAATACACTGACAAATCAGAAGAGTCAGAAACTCTTTACTGACATTTATTTCTTTTTCTCGTGAAGAATTCTCTGCTGTCTACTATAGTTTTGGGTTCTAGAGCCATTGAAATGGCCTGTGGTCTATTTTAAGACCAGTTTCCTTGTGGACTCTTTCCTAGGTAGTAATTTTGCCATGAGGTGGGATGGGTAGGGAGAATCATCATCATTTGATAAATCACCCATGGTCTTCCCTTTTGAGCCTTTCATAATTTTGCTCCTTTAAACATTTTTATTGGTCTTATAGCCATTTTTGTAACTTCTTTTTTTTTTTTGAGACCGGCCGCACCGCGCTCAGCCAGTGAGCGCTGTGAGCGCACTGGTCATCCCTATATAGGATCCGAACCCGCGGCGGGAGCGCTGCCCAGCTCCCAGCGCTGCACTCTCCCGAGTGCGCCACCGGCTCGGCCCTTTTGTAACTTCTTTTTTTTTTTTGAGACCGGCCGCACCGCGCTCAGCCAGTGAGCGCTGTGAGCGCACTGGTCATCCCTATATAGGATCCGAACCCGCGGCGGGAGCGCTGCCAAGCTCCCAGCGCTGCACTTTCCCGAGTGCGCCACCGGCTCGGCCCTTTTGTAACTTCTTTTACCCTCATTCAAGTTCTTCTGATTTTGAGAGGTCATATAACCTGAACTTGATCACAGAAATCTAATAAGGATCAGGCTAGTAAACTCTAGTGTAGCATAATGTGATACTTTAAGACAGGATTTCTTAATTGTGAAGGAAAGGTGGTCTTGAACTTTTTGAAATTATATGCAAATTTTTGTGTATGTAAATTTTTCTGGGGAGAGGTTCAAATTTTTTATCGTAGTCTCACAGTGGTCTTTTCTTTTCAAAAGTTTACTGCTGTTTTAACCATCAGTCTCAGAAAGCTTTATAGCCTGGGAGTATTCATGACTACTCAAGGTAGTAATTATTTGTCCTCCAAGTTTGTAGCACATGCTATGCTATGTACTATGAGATTAGAGAGGTCTTCTGGGACTTCCAAAAGTGGAGAGTCACATGGAGGTAGCACCTGATAGCAGATGAAAATGGAGTGCTTCTCTGAAGAAAGATACTAAGGTCTTGGCTGGCCAGCTAGCTCAGTTGGTTAGAACATGGTCCTGATAATGCTGAGGTCTGGGATTCGATGCCTGTGCTGGCCAAAAATAAATAAATAAATAAATAAAATCTTAAAGAGAAGAGATTGTAGTTGACATGTTAAAATTTCAGGTAAGAAGTGATGGGGACCCTAGAAGGGGCAACAGGCTTGGAGACCTGGCTGGTTCTAAGTATGCCTTTGGATTTTATGTTGAAAGAGAGAAGGATAGTGATCCAAAAGGCATTGCTCCTGATTTCTTCAAATATAGCTTTCTTTTTTTGAATTTCTATTGCATTTAGTTACTTTTGTGGATACTTATTATATTTGCCTTGCATATATGATACATCCTCTTTGTTAGTTTATAACCTCTTGAAGGCAGAGACTGTGTGTTTTTCAACTTTTGATACTCTTCAGTGTTCATAATGGTACGTTTTCCATAAGAGGTTTCAAAAATTTTTGTTGTATATTTGCTCTAGAGATATTGAGGATTTTCATCATATCACATAGACAATTTTCTGGTGATATCCAAGGGTGAAATTTCTCCCAGGACTTAGTATTTGTAATAGATTTTGCCTTTTATGACTATTGCACAGTTTTTATTGTATAAGCACTGCAAATCATGCAACTCATTTTAGTTTCCTTTTGTATTGTTAGAAAACCCAGAGCCATGTGATTTTTTTCAATTATTTTTGTCTTATTGTAATTATAATTATAATTGCTACTTATGTTGCACTGTCTTCCAGGCACTGTTATAAGCTCTTTACATGTATATTCTGATTTATTCTTATGTCAACCCTTGTTTATTATCCCTGTTTTGTATGTAAATAAACTGAGATACAGAGAGGTTAAGTAATTTCTCCAGGGTTACACCACTAGAAAATGGTAGAACGTGTACTTTTAAACACTACATTCTGCTGCCTCCCAGCATTGCATTTGTGTTAATTCATATAGATGTTACTGTATAACAACACATATATAGTATGTATATAAACCAATAAGGCATGAGTAGATTTACAGAGAGTCAGAGGGGCAGGGGTATGGTTTGATAAGTAGGCTTGGGTTTATTAAATCATGGATCAAAGTGATCTGTTTTAGATCTCATTTTAGAACTCTCGGTATAATTTTAGGTCATTGCTACTGAAAGTGTGGTGTTGGGGTTAGTCTGATGCTGGTCCATGAAGTGTTTGTTATTGGTCCAAGATAAGCTATGTACAGAAATTGAAAATAAGCATTTAGAAAATTTTGTAGTAATTTGGAAGAGTAATTTTATATCTGTTGAATCTAATAATAAAAATTTAGCCTTGTATTTTGTACCTCTTAAAAATTTTATTCTTCTTATAATTCATTTTTATTGTATTTTACAAAAGTATCTTTGAATGTTTGGAATTTTTTTAAAAAGTGCTCCTTAATTGGCCCTTAAAACAGTTTGAGAAGCACTGTTCTAGGAAACAGCTTTGCAGGTTTTTAAACTATGGTTTGTTTGAAGAAAAAAACAAAAAAACATGGTCTGTAGTTTGAAATTACATTCTAATCTAAACCTGTTTCTGAAGATGTATTAGGGATTAGTATGTTTGGCTACTTGGTCAGTTTCTTGGTTCTGTCGGAAGAGGCCCTAAATTGAATTGATTTGGGCAGGGGGCCATTTTTCATTTTTTTTCTTATACTTCTCAAGAATGGTGCATTTTAACTAAGTCCTTGATTAAGATAATAGCATGAGGAACTTGTCTACGATTATCCATAGTTATAGCCTCTTTCTTTGATTTATCAAAATAACTATAAAACTATTCAGATTTCTTAAATATGTCCAGATTGTTCCCTGGAATAACAGAGAAGACAACAACAATAAAACTTTGCTGATGATGCCATCTTAGAACCATAGGTTTTTCCATTTATGGAAAGCAAAGGTAGCTTCAGAGAGAGAATATTTACAATCTCAGTTCAGTTTTTAATTTTTTTTTTCTTTTTGGGTGGGGTGGGAAATCTTCTTCTAAAATATAATATGTTGTAAAATAGGCTAATGTAGAGTTACCAACCCTAAGAGGGTTTTTGAATGTCTGTACAATTACCATCTTCTCTAAAATAATCTTGTACTGGTGAGATTAGCATTTGATGGTGTATCATTTAATGGGCAATCTCTCAGTATTTTTTGGATGTTTAAAAGCATGCCTCCAAATAGAGATATGGGCTAAGGATCTGAATGGGCATCTGAGAAAGAAATTCAAGTGACCAAAAAATGTGCAACCTCAACTAACTAAAAAATGCAAGCTATCACCATGGCAGGAATAAGAAATGATGTTGGCTTTTGGTGAAATAGGTACCCTTAAATGCTACCAGCAGACCTATAAATTGGTTTAGCCTTTCTGGAGGGTCATTTGGCAGAACTCATCGGACAGGAAAAATACATTCCCTCTTTACCAAGCAATTCCACTTTGGAGAATGTATACTAAGGAAATAGTTAAACATATATGTGAAGATTTAGAGATGATTGGCAATCTAAATTTTGATGCTGTATGGCATCAAAATTGAACTTGCAGAAATACATTTGTATATATTTTTAAGAGAAGAAAATAGATTACCAAATACTCTGTGTAGTGTAATAACAGTTTTGGAAAATGCGTTTGTGTAAATATATCCGTAGAAAAATATCTGAAGGATATATTTTAAGTTTGTAGGTAGTGTTAAGAGTGTATAATTTTTGAACATTTGAATTTTTGGATATTTTCCTCTAATGAGCATGTATTCTTTTGAAGCTTCTTCGTTGAAGATTTGGCCTTTATTTTAAAATGCACAGAATAGTATAGGGGGAAAGGAAAACTGATAATCAACAGGATGTCGGCCATTCCCCAGGTCCTTTCTAAAAGTTCATGAGGAGCCTGTTTTTCTTTCAGAGCTGGTTCTTGAAAGCTATGTTTGAAAGATTTTATTTTTTTAATTTTTAAAAAATTTTTGTGGTGGCAAATGCCTATCGTTTCCAAACAAGAAAGCCAATGAATGTCTCAGTTAGGTGTGTGGAATTATTTTCATTCACTTGCAGTCCTGTTGTGTTAATACGGAATATGCAGAGACAGTCTGACTGGTGGTGAAAGATGGTAAGTCAGCCTCAGGGCTTTTCCTGGTCAGTCCTAAACCTCTGATTGCCACTTTTTCCTAATTTCCCATTTCCAGGGCATCACTAGAGTGACCTTGCTTGCTGAATATGATGCTCTGAATCTCCAAGATTTTCACATGCATTTTGAAATGGGCAGCCAGGCGATTGTTTACAGGACTCCAAATGAACTGTGCACTCACAGCAAGTTTGATAAACACACATTTCCTCCTTTTATCAGTGAGATTGCAGAATGTGAAGTATGAGTTTCCAGTTTTACTCATTCCCCTCAACCCTTTTCCTGTTTAAAAACTTAGACATACTAATTGGATGCCGATCTGTCCCTGTTTTTCATTCTGCTTACTGGTAGTTGACGGCTTATCCCAATACTTAACCTAGGCAAGTTTTGGCAAACCTTCAAAAATAAACTTTCCATGTATTCAACTTAAAGGAGATTCATCCCAAGGAATGTAATGTGAGCACTAATTAACAGTAATAACTGCTAATCACTTGCTTTTTATGCTCCTTTAGGAGCACTGCTATTATCCAATGTAGTTAAGTAAAATGCTTGTATGTGAATCAAAAATGCTACATCCTTTTAGCAGCTATTGCTCACAATCAAGCTTTGCATAAATTAGAGTTAACTAAAATTGATTTTAATATGCCACACTTCTACAATAGTAAACTAAAATATCCAGTTAATTATCTGGAACATTAAAAAGATAATACCTGATTTTTTTGTGTGCAATCATCCTTGTGGTAGATGGAAAACAATATTGCAAATAAATTTTCTCAATTCACAACACATTCTCTCAGATTTCTTTGAAATTGCATGTGACTCTTCATAGTCACAGCAGCACTTTGATTATGTCGTAAGCATTTATTTTTACCAGATCAATGAAAAGCAATAGGCTTGAGTTTAATTTTTGTGAATCTGTGTATTTTCTTTCTAGAGGATCTTACATGTTCTTTAAACTATAGAGTCCAGTTATGTACATTTGGTTCTTAGGATTGTACATTCAACATTCATTAAAAAGGGTTGTTTTATTATGTTTACTTTATTGTTAGACCATTATAAAAGCTTTCTGTTTATTTACATGCATTCAACATACCTACAAACTGTCTTGCCTCAGGAGGAAACTAAGCAAAACTCATAAATTAATAATTTAGGGGAGCAATACTTAGAGTCAGTACTTGCCACTTTAGCAGTGCTTTACTTTTGAGTTTTATTGGCTGAAAATAACTTGTTAAAACAGGACTTTTGGAATAAAATGAAAGACACATACCATCTAAAGCCCTTGCTCCTCTTTTTGATTTATGAGTATGTTGACATATTATTGAAGAATTTTTAACACTTTCACAGTTCTGCACTTTGATTTCAGAGAAGGTGTTAATCTCTCTGGAAGTTTGAGAGTGACAAAATGAGTTGTGAGTTTTTCTGGGAAATTTGGGATTCTTTATTAGAAGCCTAAGTTTTATGATGGTACCTGTATTAATGTCGATTTATCCAACATGTGATGTGGTGGTATGATTAAATGTGCATCAATGGAGTATCTTCCTTTCTCATTTTACATGTTGTCTTTAGTTGGTTTGGTCATGATGTTGCAGTTCTGATAGCTAATGTTTAGAGGCTCAGCAATTCAGGACATTATTTTTAAATTAGCAAAATAAAATAATTTAATTTCCCTTTCACTTTTTTATTATTCGTAATGTCAAAAATTTAAATTTTTGGTGAATGGACAAGTGGAAAAAGGTAAGTAATAGTGTAATAAGAAGCTTTATATTATATATACTAGTCTTATATACATTATAAGCATATGTATTCAAAGAATCTTTGGCACTGTACTTAATCGAATTTAGTTTTTGAAGAATGGTAATAGGAATGATGTGAGAGCATAGAAAATATATGGAAGTTTAATCAAATGTTATCCATAAGTAATTATAAGATTCATGAGTATTGTTGTATGTAATTTATTTATTTTACATCCTGTTACTATTGCACAATATGCATGTTTATGAGGAAAAACTTGCTTTTTCTATTTTGCTTTGAGTTTGTGTGTAATAAAATTATATTTAAAAATGGTGAGGATTTCAGTTTTCAGTTTCAATTTTTTGTTTTTGTTTTTGGGTTTTTTTTGCAATGTGTTTACTTTCATGTGAGAGAGATTGATCTGTAGCTGTCATTTTACCCAAAGAGGAGACAAATGGAATTGGCCTTTTAGAAAAAAGTACGCAAACAGACTGCATTCTTTCTGTTGATAGAATTATGGAAGGATTGCATGAGGTGCCACATTCATTTTCCTATTGATTGTGAAGAGGATTCTGCAATGGGGTGCTGTTTTCAGTGGATAAGGAGGTGCTATGATTAGTTACCTTTCTTGTGAAAGCACTACAAAGGGAAATGCAATGAGTGCAGTGCAGTGTTCTCAATTTGATAGTTGTTTTTGTTAAGATTTTTTTCCTCATTGAAGTCCAGCCTGTTTTAGAGAAACATACATTTTGGTTTTTTTCCTTTATATTGGGCTTAGTAGAGTTCCATGCATTTGACCCTTTAAAGAAATTATACATTATAGACAGTTATACATTATATACATTTCTTTTTCTAGGCTTCTATTGTAAAGCTTCAAAGCTGATGCAACAGTGCCCTCTATAGTCTTTTAGTGAACAGTAGATAAATGTAGATGATTTGGAATATTCATGTAAGAAGCAGTATATTTAAATTTAATTTTTACTCAGACAAGAAACCCCTTTTGCCTAAGTAGACATTCTTGTTTTTCACTACAGACTTTACTTTAAACAAAGGGAACAAAGGACCATTCTGAGTTTTCATTTAGAGTTATTGGCTACCTCTTGTTGTTACCCAGTGGTAAATCTCAAGTTTTATCAGACGTTCATCAGAGTAATTTGAGATAGAAGGAATCTTACAAGCTGTACTGTCTGTTCGTGAAATATCTTTTTGAAGTTGAGCTCCAAAAGGCGTATTTTAAAAAATAATTTAGTTCCTTTGTACTTGTTTCTTCTATTTAATTAGAATCTGAGTGGGCTGCCTAGAACTTAACTTTTACTTGTTCCTGAATTGGGTAACCCAGGCTTTATACATGACATGATTTAAATTCAAACCAAGAGAGTTATACAATGACTAAAGTATTTGTCATTTATTAGCATTGATTTAAATTTTAGATTTCCATTCCTCTCTTTTTGGGTTACCTATTTGAGTATATATATTGATAGCTAAGTTTTTCATTATAAAATATAACTAAATGGATTTAAATTCAAACCAAGAGAGTTATACAATGACTAAAGTATTTGTCATTTATTAGCATTGATTTAAATTTTAGATTTCCATTCCTCTCTTTTTTGGTTACCTATTTGAGTATATATATTGATAGCTAAGTTTTTCATTATAAAATATAACTAAATGTGAAGTGATTAATTGATAATAAAAGCAGGCATCATATTAAATATGATTAGAAGAAAAAATTTCATAGACCAAGTTTATTTTGCTTCTGAAAGTGTTAAAGAGCCTGGGCCCAAGTCCTATTTTCTCCATTTTTTCAGTATGTAATGTTGAACACATGTCTTAACCTCTGACTCTGTTTTCTCTTCTGTAAAATGGGAGTAAAAATAGTTTATCCTTTGAGGGTTTGTGAAGAATTAAAGATAATGTATATAAATTGGCCGGGTCATTCTAGATGCTGAAATGGAAACTTATTTCAAAAATTACATTGTGAAGGTAAATGGCTTTGTTTCATATGATGAAGTTTTAATATAAAATCTAGAATACATTTAATGCACTTTAGATTTTTTTAAAAAGTCCTATCTGGCAACTTCTGGTGACTTACATGATTCTGAAAGTTGGCACAGCGTTCCTAGGTAAAGTGAATTGACTAAAATGATGTGCTTTAACTATCAACTCTCTGCATTACTCATTTCCAAACTTCTTAAATAGGCCATCTTTATGAACTTTATTTTAGTAGACATTTACACATAGACCAATATTTGGCAACATGTGAAAACTGATAAATAAAGCTCAGGGGAAAAATCAAGAGTTTTTAATTTTTTTTCTTTAGCTTATCTGGGAATACTTAAGATGCATTTTCATTTACATATATTCTTAGTAGTAGTCTAGAGCCCTTATTCACGTTTTCTAGATAAGTGGCTGTGGGTTTCTCTACCAGCTACAAAGAAGAGTGATATGTAAAATAGATGAAAGTGGAGCTTTTCTGGTTGAAGTGGAGATGGAGGCCTAGTGTCTCTCTTCTTTGAAGGAACAAAGTATAAAAAAGCCACTTGGTACTGTATTGTTTGTGTGTGTGTGTGTGTGTGTGTGTGTGTGTGTGTGTGTGCACAGTCACTGTCTTAGTCTTCTTCCTGTTGCTACAACAGAACATCACAGACTGGGTAATTTGTAAAGAAAAGAAATTTATTTCTTATAGTTGTGGAGGCTGGGAAGTCCAAGGTCAAGGGGCTGCATCTGGTGAAGGTCTTCTTGCTGGTCGACACTCTCTGCAGAGTCTCAAGGGGCATCACATGGCAAGGGGTCTCATGAGAGAGAACCAAACTAGCTTTTATAACTAACTCAATCCTGTGATAAACTATTAACCCATTAAATCATTAATTCATTCATTCAGGAGGGCAAGCCCTCATGACCCTCATCACTTTTTGAAGGCCCCACCTCTTAATACTCTTATACTGGCAATTAAGTTTCAATGTAAGTTTTGGAGGGAACAGATTTTCAAACCATAACATATACCTTTTTTTTGTGTAGGGGCTTTGTCCTACTTTGGTTTGAATTTATAGTACCTAATTCTGTTCCTGGCACATAAAAGATGCTCAATTAATGTGTGCTGAACACAGAATTTTTTGAACATTGGTCCTTCCCTTATTGATATATAAGATTTGAAATACTATATGTATAAAAATGCACAATTTAATGTGGCCATGTAATATTGAAGTAATTGTATCTCTATGAAGCATTTAAAATAAGCACATTTTCAGTATAACTCATCAATTTATTTTTAAAAAATCAAATTGTTTTAGTTACAGATAATAATGGGAAATGGATAAAAAAAAATACTCAAAACTTTTCTTTAAAATGATTAAAAACTGTTGTATTCTACAGTGATGAGTCTAGCTAGTGATCTGGACATTTCAAATGACCCAATGATAAAAATAATCTTACACAAAGAACTTCTGAATTGAATTTTCTTAACATTCAGTGAAGTGTTGTTTTTCTTGTCAAGTTATTTGTGTTTCATATTGATTTTGAGTAACCTTAAATTTAATA